ATTGAAGTAGTTCATGATATTATTATAATTGAGATGAGAACGGGCTCAATTTGATTTCTAGCACAGAAAATCTATTTTGGTTTTTGTGGTGTGGTGAGGCAAACTAATCGTCATTGTTTCGTCATAAGATCAATTATATGAATGGGCATATCTGATGTGTATGATTCCATAATTAATACACAGTGAAGTCTCTATACTTACAATATGAAGACAAAATCAAGCTTCACCAACCTAGGAAAAGCAACAAATTAAGAAAATTAATGTTCGCTTTCTATGACCAAATAATCAAAAACATTTATATCTGACCATAGGAAGAAAGCCAACTACCCCTAGTTGGAATTCAGCAATAATTTTAATTGCGATTATAAATTATTTTTGCTGTGTGAAAAGTTTCATATTGTACTCATACAGATATATTGAATAATATGCAGGTGTAGAAGACTATTTTATAAAATTTTAAATTAAATTATAGTATAAATTTGATTTATTTAATTAACTTATGATTGAATCATTAAGGCCAATCATGTTGTAGAAAACTATAGTAATATATATATATATATAGTATTTTAAGTTCAAATTCTGTCGTTATTATCGTAATTCTTGTAAATAAAAGAATTAACTCATAACTCAGTAATAGAGTGGTGCAAGTATCTGGACACTAGAGGATATTGGAGACTTAGACTATCATAATATTGGAGACGTGCTAATGTTAGATTCATTGTCTTAGTGGTCCAAATAATGGGCATACAAGGGAACATAATTAAGACAGAGAACAAGACTGGACAGTTGATCTTACGTGCAATTTCGGTGGCTGAAAATTTTTAAACTAATTAACAATCACGTCTATTAAATAATTTGGGAAAATAAGGATCAAAATTTCCAACATGAAATTAAATGAATTATTTGTCTTTTACTGGTTGAATTAAAGAGAACTTTCAATATGCAATTTGTTGGCTGCAGAATGGTTCTTCATTCTTTCGTATCATCATGGATTCTAAAATGTCAAACAATCCCTCTCTACATACCACTTATTCTTACAATAATTGTATCAATTATTGCAAGGGTACCACTCAGTATTTTTTTACAAACAATCTTTGAATAATTACATTAAAAATTCCATGTTCAACAAAAGAAGACAGACACGTTCATTGATATGCTTTAATATTTTGAAAGGAATAGGTTGTTAATAGAACATCTTTGCATTATTATTACACAGTCCAACAGTGTGTTTTGCAGTTAAATTTCTTCTAAATGCCCGTTAAAATAAAATCAATAACTTCTTGCTTCTTAATTTTATAATTTGAAAAGTGGAAATTCCCGATTGCATCTTTTAAGATATAGATCCATATCGGTCAATAAGTCTTGTATCTTACAAGGAAACTTAAGTCAAACCCTTATGAATCCATGCATATAAATTATCAGTTGATTGTTTTGTCACAATAATTATAAATGAGTTTGTTTGCTAAATTAATTTGATATTTTATTATGTCTATTAAATTTATATAACAAAAGGGGAGGATTTTTCATACCTAACACACAAGATATAATTGTTCAAAAAAAAAAAAAAGATTGGTTAGATTTTCTATTCTTATTGAGTTTACTCATTTTTGAATTTTTTTTTTAACAATTCTAAGTTTCAGATGTAGTATTGAAAGTTAGATAGAGATTTCGGGATATTTGATAGCTTTTCCAATAAAGAAAGTCTTTTTGTTTGTTCAAGCCATGTAACACCTCTTAGATTTGATATCTGAGTAGTTTCACTCCATAATACTTCATACGGTAATATTTCACACAGTATCATTTTACACAACTCTTTGTTGGTTAGAACCCTTCACTGGTTGGAATCTTTTGTGAATAACATTTTTTGAGATGTTCTTCCACCTCTAGGATCAATGATTGGTTCCACAAATCAACACAAGACTTTTCAGCATTTTTTGTCTTCACTCATACGCTTTCTGGGAAATTTTCTAGAAGGTTATCCATTTCTAAATTATTTCAAGTCAAGCACACTTAATTGTGAAATTCTTATATGATGAGCTACCAAAAAGTATATATATCTTGTTAATATAATAAGTAGTACAAATTAATTCTTTTAAGTCATTCTCAATTATATAAACTCATACTTATACAATCTTTGTATCTCTCTTATTTCAGTGTGTACAAATTGTTACAAGACGAACCACATGTCTCTTATAGTAGATTTACCTAAACATTTAAGTTGTGTATATATGAGGGTCTTGTATTCTAAATTGTACTATAATTCTATAACTAATAATTAATTATTTTTAGTTTATCTTTCAATATAATTGGTTATTCATTTGATTTTTAATAATACAGATTTTTTTAGTGACATACTTTCAATTTTGAAGTGATTTTTCTCACAATATATTAATAAAATTAGTGGAAATTTGGGTTTAGGATTCAGGTTCGTAGCTAGTTTTATTTTTTCAAAATAGAAATAACACATTTAATTATATTATATTATATTATATATACGATGGCGTAACATTTAAAAAGATAGTTGCTAGAATCAAAACCCATATGTTCCGGATATGATAGTACTTGTGAAATTGGAAGGTGAAGACATGTAATCATGGAGGTCGGATGTAATAGTGCTTGTGAAATTCGAAAGTGAAGACATGTAATCATGGAGGTCCAAATTAACTGATACATATATTGGTTTAAAAGATAGCTTCCTACAATACCTATAATTAGGGTTTAGGGTTTTGACTTTCAGATTCAAAGATTAGTTTTGCTTTTTTCAAATAATAAAAGTGTAAACACATTTAATTATATACTTTTTTTTTTTTTGATAAGCAAAAGAATTTAATTAAAAGGGGTACTCCAACCCATTACAGAAGATTTCAAAACCTAATAAAAAATTACGAAATACACAAACGTGGGCTAAAATACCAATTAGAGTAACTAAAAGAACAACCAGGGACAGAACTTTTAATCCACTTCCATGACCGCATTTTAATATTGTCCAACACTTCCTTGCAATCCATTACACCTTGCTGGAAAATTATACCATTCCGATGAAGCCATAGTGACCAAATTACAGACACCCAGACCACTTTAAAACACTGCTTGGATTTTTTATAAATACCAAGATTCGTCCAATATAGATAGAGAGAAGTTAGGGAATTTGGAAGGACCACCTCAACCTCCAACCAATTGGCTACAGATAACCAAATATTAAAAGCCATTGGGCACATTAGAAAGAGATGAATAGGGTCTTCTATAAATAAAGAGCAAAGAGAGCATAGGTTATTTTCCACCTCCACACCACGAACTTGTAACAATGATTTGCAAGGGAATGCATTCATGAATACCTGCCAACAGAACACCAAGCACTTGATCGGAGCCTTGCATTTCCAAAGACTTTTTGTGACTAGAATAAAATCTGAAGAATATGAAAGTTCTCCACCCATCGAGTGTTGCAGCCAAGAGTACGCACTTTTCACTGAGAATACACCATCTTTATCACAAATCCATCTCCATTGATCTTGTTTAGAAGAGAAAATTTGAGTTTCCTGGAGCATTTCTATTAATGTACTCACACTTCCTTCTTCATGGAGATGATTGGTGTAGCATCTAAAAAAATAATAGTGCAAGAAGGAAAATCTAGATGTTTATGGGATATATATGATTGGGCCTACGAAACTGGAAGGGTAAGTATTCGAAATACATATATTGGTTTAAAAGATAGTATTCGAAAATATAGTTAAGGATTAGAGTTTAGAATTCGAGTTCAAATTATTTTTGTTTTTTAAAAATAGTAATAACATATTTAATTATATTATATCATATATGATTTAAATATAGTTACTAACATGACTAAAATACTTATAAAATTTTCTTTAAAAAAACAAATCAAGTAAAATGAACCACTAAGATCAATTCAGTAATAAAATGTTGAGATAAATGTACAAAGATTTAGGTTAATTTAATCTATATTATCATTGTCTTAATTATGTTTACTAATAAAAAATTAAAATGAAATAAAATATTTAAAAACCAAAACACTATATAGTCATTCATTTGCATGTATTTCTATGTCACTTTTTTTTCCTACTCATTTTCTTTGTCTCTATTATTTTTTATTACACCACTTATCATGTATGTAATTTAATTTTTCTCTCTTTATCTTTTCTTTTTCTCTATATCTCTCTCCTTCATAAACTCTAATTCATAAGAAAAAAATTTACCTCTTATATTAAATATGAACTATTATCTTATATGACAACCTTTAAGAAATTTTTTTTTAAGGAAAACATTTTTAGAATTTTTCTATGAATTGTTCTTAAAATTTTTCTTAACTTCTTATTAATTTTAATTTTTCTTCATAACACTTATTTATAAATTAAATTTAATATTTTTAAAATAATTTTTTAATGATTAAAAAATAATTTTATATCATAATATAAATTATTTATCATAAATTTAAAATATAATTTATATATTTAAACTATCCATTTATACATATTTTAAATATAATTTATGTATTCAAATTTATTTGTATATATTATTATAAATTTTGTTTATCTATTTTTATATATAAAGAGATTTTTTTTTTTATTTTCGTGTACATTATACTTTAAATATTATTAACCTTTTAAATAAAAATAAAAATCTGTTAAATGGAGGTTATAAAAAGTTTAAAAAAAATTAGTGCATGATAACTACATATTACTCTAATGACATGAATAGTTAAATGGAAGGACATAAAAAAGTACCTTTTTGTATAAAATAAACATTTTATACATTATATAGTTTCACTTCACCCAATCTCATGGTATTGCAGTAACCGGTAATTCATCTTGACCATTTCTTTATTTATGCAAAAGATTGTCCATTGGTGATCCACTTAGTATATGTTTAGAAAATCGTCCACACACCCTTAATATTCACATTTATTTGAGATAATACACCGCTAATTATATGTTTTACGGGTTCACCTAGATTTACCCCTCTAAACAGTATATAATCCGATAGAATCCTAAAGTTGAAAGCACCCTTTCGTGGCTGAGCCTCGTGGTGCAGCAGAGGGAAAAACGTTTAATCTATACATGCCACAAAGTCTAACATACACAAGTTAGTTTCCAATATGGGTTCTACATCAGTGGACAAGGAAGTTGATGAACCTTTGCTGCTCTCAAGCCAACCCCCATCATCACCTTCAAGTTTCACTTCAAAGCACGGTTCAGACGGTGAACTTGAGCGAATACTCACAAACACCAACGTCCCTTTTCGGAAGCGCATAGGAGCCGCAACATGGGTGGAGTTCAAGCTCTTGTTTCACCTCGCTGCTCCTGCTGTCATCGTCTACCTTATCAACTACGTCATGTCCATGTCCACCCAAATCTTCTCCGGCCACCTCGGTAACCTCGAACTCGCTGCTGCTTCCCTCGGAAACAACGGCATCCAAGTCTTCGCTTATGGCCTCATGGTACTACTCAATCATCCATTCATCTCAACATCAATTCACATGCAATCCAATCTTATTAATCAACTCTTTTTCAAGACTAAACATATAAAATATTTTATATTAATTAAGTCTTTCTGTATACAAAATTAAAAATACTTTTTAAGAGTTTCTCTACTTAAAATAAAGAGTGTTTTTCAGATAAGTTTTTCAAGAGAACTTTTGCACTCGTATCTAAACAGACTTATTATCATATATAATAAGACTACTATTGAATCACTGCTACAAGATGTTTAGTTATGCAAATTTTTACGTTGGTGATCCCTAGTTTTCAACATGAAAGTAGTATATCATAGATCAAATATCGACTAGTAATGAGATTTAATAACAATTTTCACTATACAAAAAGACTGAAGTAAAGTTTGAGGAATGTTTTTGAACAGTTGGGGATGGGGAGTGCCGTGGAGACACTATGTGGACAAGCATACGGTGCAAAGAAGTACGAGATGTTAGGAGTATACTTGCAAAGATCTACGGTGCTTCTCACTCTATCAGGTCTTCTTCTAACCCTAATCTACATCTTCTCAAACCCAATTCTAATCTTCCTCGGAGAGTCCACAAGAATCGCGTCCGCAGCCGCGCTTTTCGTGTACGGTCTAATCCCACAAATCTTCGCCTACGCCGCGAACTTCCCCATCCAGAAGTTCCTTCAGGCGCAGAGCATAGTGGCGCCGAGCGCCTACATTTCCTCTGCGACTTTATTGGTCCACCTGGCGTTGAGTTGGGTGGCGGTGTACGAGGTGGGACTAGGGTTGCTTGGCGCGTCGCTTGTGCTGAGCGTTTCGTGGTGGATCATCGTGGTTGCGCAGTTTGTGTACATTGTGAAGAGTGAAAGGTGTAGGAAGACGTGGCGTGGGTTTAGTTTAGAAGCGTTTTCGGGGTTGCCGGAGTTCTTCAAGCTGTCGGCGGCGTCGGCGGTGATGCTGTGCCTGGAGACGTGGTACTTCCAGATTTTGGTTTTGCTTGCTGGGTTGCTTCCTCACCCTGAGTTGGCTCTTGATTCTCTTTCTATTTGGTAACTCTTTCTCTTTCGTAACTCTTTACCAAGAAATTATTATTACTTAACTTTTCTATGATATTATTAGTTAACAACTTAGAATTATATGTTGGCATGTTGTCTTGTAGTAGCAGCCATGAGTTATGAGTTATGATGAGTGAAACAGTAGTAGTAGCAGACCACCACCTTTATGGACTCTAAATAGCATGCCACGTTGCAACATATTTTGGCTTGTTCTACTTTTATCGAAGTTATAAATAAAAATGTCTTCGTGGGAAATATTAAAAAATAGAAAACAGAAACCATATTTTCAGAAGGTCACTTTGGCTTCTTCTAGTACTTTGTTTTCTAGTAGAAAAGCATCGAATTCGAAGAGATATGGTTGCTGTCGTAGCATAAATTCTATTCCTGATATTCAACTACAATATAGTGACAACACAAGCCAACATGTTCTCCAACACTTTCAAGACTTGTGGTTAACAATTTGATTTTGAAGTCTCTATAGACGTGTTTAGATATGTTAGATTTTAAAATGAATTTCAGAGATTAGTTTTTAATTTTAGAGTTATTATTGGTCTCTTAAATGAAGAGATTAGTTATTATTAATTATTATTTTTGTTAGGAATACTTCGGGTTTAAAATAAATAGTAACAACAACAAAGTCTTTCTATCCTCCATTTTTTGTTAGGTATGTCTGTCATACTTATCATTTTGTATTTTTGGGTAAGATGAGAAAAATGAAAATAATTAAATAATTATGTTATAGTACCTCAAAAAGGAAACTGATATTGAGAAGTGTACAGTAATCACAAGCCTCAATAGGCGAAAGATAAAATGAATTAAAGTATATGTTTACACTAAAAGTTGGTATCACTTTTATATATTGTTTGGAGATGTTCTAAATTAAAGTATAAAACCATAAGTTAAGTAATAACAATTAATTAAGAAACATACATTTTATAACTTTCATTAATCGTTTTGTAATTTTTAAAAATAATACATTACTGCTGTAAAAAAAACATTATTTTGAAAGGGACGTCAAAATAAATTCAATATTCTCTTAATTTATGTTCTTAATTAGTAAGCTTTCAATTATTATATAAACTCAATATCAAAAATTACATTTTCAAATATTAAACTTCTTATTTATTTTATTAATATTATAATAATAATTTTTTTTTAATATTTAACGACTGGTATAGAACGAATTAGAATCAAATTGTTATTATACTATTATTCAAATATTTATAACAGAATGAAAATTTTATTTTATCATTTAAACATATAAAAAATAACATAAAATTGATAAGAAAAAGAAAACTGGATAAAATATATTTTATCGACTTTTAATATAATCTAAGTTATTTGTTTTTAACATATTATATCATAATTAATGATGATTAATGTTATTCTCATTTCTTTATTTTTATTCATTTCTATTGATTTAAATATGATTTTTTTTACAAGAGATTCGAATATGATTTAAACGACATATAGTAATCATGCCTAATTTCTTATTAATAACACGGTTTTTTATTTTAATAAAAAAGGTACAAAATAAATTCTATTCAGGCCATGGTTTTACGTTTTTCAAATACTTAGTGTTGCTTTTCAGAACAATCTCCTTCTTCTATATATGAACATGTTGTGGGCTCATTTCGTAGGCCTATTACGAAATTATTTTGGGAATTGTTAGAATACCCTCGAAGATCGATGAATTTTAATACATTTTTCTATATAAACTTATAAAAAATTTTAAAAAAATAATTTAATTATAAAATGAATAATCTAAATTATATTTATAAAATAAAAAGTAAGATAAAATTATAAAAATTAAAATTATAAGATTTTAATGATATTATAAAATATTAAAAAAAGAAAAAATTAATAAATAGTAGAAATAAAAAATTATTAAAATTACAATATAAAAATTCAAAAATTTAAGATAAACTATTTAAATATATAATAATATTATTACAAATAAATTAAAATATATAAAATAAAAATAAAATAACTAAATAATTTAAAATTTGAAAGAATAAAATATATAAATATTATTTAAATAAATTATTAAAAATATAAAATATAAAAATTGTACTAGTACCCTCTCAAATAAGATGGGTACCATAGAATTTCTCGATTATTTTTCCTGTCAGACTTTGGGTCCATCAAAATGATAGGTCTACGTGCATGGTTTTAATTGTGTCTTTTCTGTAACACTCAAATTATTGTTGGTCAATTAATTATCTATGTATTGGTCTCTTGAATATAACACTACGTTATGTCTTGTTCAATCCAATTAATGTTTGACTGTGCATGTTAGAAAATGATTATTTGTAAGAGAACAACCGTTTAATAAGCATTATTTTTTAATTTTTGTTTTTTTTTTCTTATTACAGTACCACAGTGTCTGGATGGGTTTTCATGATCTCAGTTGGATTTAACGCAGCTGCAAGGTTTGATTCTCCTTTTATATTTGATAACTTTGGCTGTTGCAATTTTCTTATTCTTAACTAACTGTGTGTTTAGAAAGCAGTTGAGATCTTACTTTGGAGTTGAAAAATAAGTTACATCTATAACCTTTTATTTTTTCTTTAATCGAAACACGAATTTTAAATTGAAATTCAAATATACACGTGGTTGTTCTATAGCAGAAGTGAGTTTTGAACTTTGATTCTTTGGTTTATGCTATTACTTGTGTTTGTTTCAAATTACATAAGCATTTGTTGAAAAATATTCGTGTTTATTCTCCTGCGTACCACATATGCATGCTGCTTGTCACTGTTGTTGATGATGAAAAATATTCGTGTTTTTGAGCTTGGTAAGTAATGCACGTCTTGAGTATTAATTAACTACGATTCATTGTCAGCAACAGTGACAAGCAGCATGATTCAAACGGAATAATCAAAGCCTAGAAGAACTTAATATCTAGTGTTACATCTAAGAGATAGTGAAAGACAATCAATAATTAGTAGCCTAGAAACTACCTTGATCGAAGGTCTTCTTCATGTTACTATCTTAATGGTGCAGAGTATTAATTGAGTACCTCGGTAACTAATTTTCACCGGATAATAATATTACTTAAGAAATCTCCATCAATAATTATAATTCCACTTGTTCATTAATCGAAGAGACTAAAATCAGGTTACTATATATATAATCACATTACTTTTGATAAGTATAAATACCGTAAATATTGTATTAAATCTTATAGAAACATATTTTATCCTTAAAAATATATATGACATTAAGAAAAGTTGGAGGAAAAAATGACATAATACGTTCTCTTTCTTTCTCTAGTCTCTTTCAACTATTGTATATGTTTTGTATCAAGTCTTTGATCGTATATGCTGCGAATATTAATTAGTTTTTAAAATGAAGTATATAGTTTTGTGGTGATGCATGCAGTGTGAGAGTGAGCAACGAACTCGGTGCAAGAAATCCAAAATCAGCTTCATTTTCAGTGGTGGTGGTGACATTGATTTCTTTGATAATATCAGTCATTGTGGCAGTGGTAGTGCTGGCAATTCGAGACATCATTAGCTATGCCTTCACAGATGGTGAAGAGGTCGCTGCTGCTGTCTCAGATCTTTGTCCCCTCCTTGCTCTTTCTATTGTCCTCAATGGCATTCAGCCTGTCTTATCTGGTATAATAATAAACACTATAAATAAAATGTCACATTATATAAGTGAAAGTAATTTTAATGCTTAAGTTTTTATTTTTAGTATATGATATGCTTTTACGTGTCTAATCATGAAAAGGGGTGGCGGTTGGATGTGGATGGCAAACTTTTGTTGCGTATGTGAACGTTGGTTGCTATTATGGAATTGGAATACCATTGGGTTCAGTTCTTGGTTTCTATTTCAAACTTGGTGCTAAGGTATGCCAAAACCTTTGATTTTAATTAATAACAATGCAAGAATGGATGCATTTAATTTGCATGCACGTGCGGTGTCTGTGTGCAGGGAATATGGGTGGGAATGTTAGGTGGCACGGTTTTGCAAACAATTATTTTAGTGTGGGTTACATTTCGAACGGATTGGAATAAAGAGGTAAAAAAGGAAAATACTATACTATACTATGTAGCAAGATTTATGGTTATTATTTGTAACCAATATTTTGTTGATTGTATTTGCAGGTTGAAGCAGCAGCAAAGAGGTTGAACAAGTGGGAGGATAATAAAGAGCCACTTCTAAAGAACTGAAGCTCGTTATCATTTTCACTATTATATAAATCGGATTTTGCATCTTGCAACTTTTCATATTCCTTATTTGTGTGGTTGAAGACGCTCTGTATTTTCATATTTATTTAAAAATGTATAAAAATTATTTATATTTGTTAAATTAATTGATAGTATTTGAATCTCAAGATTTTGGATTCAAGTTTTAGGTTTAATTAATTTTAAACATTATTTTTTATTATTTAAAGATTTAAAAATAAGATAATTTAAAAATTATATACACAAAAATGGGATGTCTCCTTTGTAATAAGTATAGATTACAAGAAACTTATAACATTGTCAATTTAGTAAGTGTATATATAGCATAAGAAATTGCTACTTCCTCACATATAATAAATCATATTAAATTTATATATGGCTCAAGTAAATGTTTCTTTCTCAAATATAATCAATTAAGTATGCAATTTGTTTGTGTGAAAACCGAAAATAATAACACGTAAGTGTTAAATTATTTTATTATTACTTCTAACATATTAATTACTTTATTATTATTGATGTACTAATAATTTTGTTATTATTAATATTACAAGTTTTTAAGTATTTAAGGAGATTCTTAATCATTTAAGTATTGAAATAGTTTAGTACATGTACACTATTCAATTGTGATTGAACAGCCAAAATCATAGTGTTCCCTAAGCTATTGGATAAACCTCAAAGGTGCTGAATTGGGCTTAACAATGTGTAGGAAGGAAGGAAAGAAAATAAGTAGGAGATGTGCTTAACATTCACCCAACAAATGGTTATTTATGTTGCCACACTTTGGACACGAAATCAAAACCCAACAAAGGAAAAATTCAGGCCCAATTTATATGTAAATGGAAAGCAAGACATTTATAAAGTATCTTAATGTTAAATGTAGCAAGACATTTATACACATGGACTATAAACATAGTACCTTTAAAAAGACAAATTAGCAAGGGATCTATAAGGAAATCAAGTGTGATTTCTATATTAAGTAAAATTTATATATAATTGTCCATAGTTGGTTTTAGGAAACATTAGTGTGACTTTTCGTTTTTCTACAAGATATATAAGAATAAGAAAGAAACACCACTTAATTCTTCTACATATGATTTTTCAAAATAAATTAAACTAAAAGTAAAAAATGATACTGGTTATATCATGTTTGTTTGAAATGGTATCGCGTCAAACAAACTTGAAAGACATATAAGTGGTTGACAATTAATTCTACCGACAGCAACTTCAGGCGCTTTAATTTCTCTACAAAAATTTTAAATTCAGAAACTTTCACCTCTGCGCCTATGAAACCTGCATTAGTAGTTTACCACAATACCCTTATTTATTTCTTCAAAAATAATTCATGCACACCCATTTGTCTTCAGACATAAAAATAAAAATGAATAGGTGATATAATATGTATTAAATATATATTATGCGGGTATTTATTAGGTACATTTTTTTTTATTATTTGGTATATTATATGAGTTTCCATACATCATTATTTTTCTTCTTTATGGTTGTTTGAACACATTCTTTGTTTTATTTTTATTTTTATTTATACTAGTAATTTAACTCTATCCCATTTAAATATGTTATTTAGTCTCCCAAATTAAAGAAATTCTAAACAAGTTTCTGAAATTTTGTATTATTCTATATAAGTCTTCAAATTGAATTATTTAATTTTAAACTTATGTTGTTATCACATTGAAGATATATATTTTTAAAATTCTAAATTAATGTAATTAATGAATTACACCCTAAAAATTCATCTAAAATTTTCTTAATTTTTTCATGTGCGGAAATTGAATAGAATATTTATAGAATTTATAACAACCCATGCACTATACCCTTTAAAATTTTGTTAATTTATGAAGTACTAATGTAATAAGAGTAATGGTTTGGTTTAATATAAAAGAAGTAATAGGAAAGGATGTAAAAGAGAGGGTAGTTGAATTTTGATGGGAGATCTTGGTCCAGGTCCCACGGGCACGTGATCCATTATTAAAAGATATTTTAAGACAGTGGATCGTAATTGGTGTTTAGGAAGAGAAAGTGTTGAGTAGAAAAGAATCTGAAACCAAAAAAGCTAAGAATATGGAGAAAATACATCCCATGGAGTCCCTACCAGAGGCTGCTATGCTTCAGTCATTGATGATAATTAACTCCTCTCCACTTGTACTCAAAACTTTTTTTTTAATAAAGTTTACTTAAAAGTGACATGAATATGCATCGACTTTATAAATTATAAATGACTTCTTTATATATATATATATAGGCATCATATCAAGTGACAGAGAATTTATTATGAGAGATGAGAGAGTTAAAATATAACTCTTAAATTAATCAAGTGAGAGAAAATATATAAGCCGAGGGATCCCTTTATTTCAGGAGTAAATCTACCTAAACTTACTCTATTTAATAACTCATGTTCTACATTAAATTTTAACGATCAAATCGTTGAATTTAAAGTTTTTAATTCATAAATTAAATCTGTAAATTTTGAAAAAAAAAATAAAAATCATTTAATACTTTGTTTCATTAATTCAAATTGATGGATAATCATAAAATCATTTTATACATTGATTTGAATTAATGAAACAAAGTATTAAATGATTTTTATTTTTTTTTTCAAAATTTACAGATTTAATTTATGAATTAAAAACTTTAAATTCAACGGTTGGATCGTTCAAATTTAATATAAAACATGAGTTATTGAATGGAATAAGTCTAGATAAACTTATTCTTGGAGTAAACGGATCTCTCCTCAATTCAAAAGTTGGTCGTGAAACAAGCATTAACTATAGGCTTAGTTATTTTATTTTTTTTCAATCTTCTAATTATCTTGAAGATTTAATTTTATTTTACTAATTTTAAATTATTTAATTTAGTTTTTTAAGTTTTAAAAAGTTTAATATTATTTTTATATTAAAATTGACACTAATCATGCTAATAAAATTAGACAAAAGGCAAAATTGAACATTTTTTTTAAGAAAATAGATGATTAAATTGAACATTTTTAAAATAATGGTATAAAATTGAACATTTTAAAAATAGAGTAACCAAATTGAATAATAATTAATAAATAGTTAAAAGAAATTAACAAATAGGTAAAAATATATTAAATAGGTAAGTGAAAATTCAAATTTATCTAGGTAAAAATGTTAGAGTAATTATTGATAAATTTGATCCTTTTATTTTTAGAGTATTCAATTTTGTTTCACTATTTTAAAATTATTTAATTTGATCTTTTAATTTTTACAATTGTCTCATTATTGTTGTGTTGATATGTTGTAGTGTTATTTTAAGTTGAAAAGTTGATGAGTTGTATTGTATTATAAGTTGACATATTGCTTAGTTGTTGATAGACTATAACCAATGTCAAGGAATCTAAGAGGTGATATCTTAAAAGAACCAAGAGGAATGAGATGATCTTAAAGACCTTTTCATATGTTTGTACATATAGTAGTCTCTTTGTATATGCTTATTTTTGCCTTTGTATTTGTGAGGCATTTTACTTGTTTTTATTAGTGATTGTATATTGATTTTAGGGTAGGTTACTTGGAGAGTTTAACTCCATTTAACCTCCTTTGTTGATACACTCATTTTCTATTTTTTCAGTAGGGAAAAAGGGGTGGCATTTAGCAATGCTTGAGGGTGTGACTAGTAATTGTGCCAAAGTTGGGCCTAGGCAAAAATTTACATATTAGACTCATTTTACTCCTAATTTTTCATAGATTTGATTTAGCTAGGTCTCATCATCATATGATGAACCTAACTAAACCAAATCAAATATTTTTGAAATTAATTAAGTGAGCAAATTAAGTCTTGGTCGCCTAACTCCTTGGTTCTCCTTTGGCCGAATTTCACTCATGCTCTACAAAGCTTAGAAGCTTGCTCTCCAAGCTTTGTAAACCTTGGACGGTCAAGCTTGACCTTACCATGGTTCCTAGTGAACCATGGTTAAGAATAGCTTGCTCTACAAGTTTTACAAACCTTGGATAGTTAGTTAGGCTAAACCTTACCATGGTTCCTAGTGAACCATGGTTAAGGTTAGCTTCCTCTACAAGCTACCTCTCCCTATATATTTCTAAATTGCTCATTCTACTTCACTTTTTGAGATATGAAATCATAATTTGACTCAAATTCTTTCCTCTTAAAGTCTTAAGTTCCGTGGAGAAACTTACTCTCTAAGTTTTTCTCAAAGGTTTCCAACTTTTAGCTTGGTTCAACAAGCTTCATCACCCTTTCATGGAGTAACCGAACCTCCTTGATGATTCAAACTCCTTGAAGCTTCTTCAAAGGAGTTCTTCAAGATCACAACGTGTCAACCTCAAAGAGCATCTTCGGTCCTTGCATGGAAAGCTTGGAAGAACATCAATCCTCTCCAAGTAGTTCCATCAGTTGTGGTGTTGATTTAGTGACTAGATATGTTTTATGTTGAGTGAAAGTAATTCAGTTGTTAACTATTATACATAATTTAAGTTGTTAATATAGTTGGTGCAATACTTCTATAGATTATATGTTATTTTCTTGAATTTAAGCTTACCTTTACATTTTTCTTATTGTTGGATTATGATGATTATATTATTATGGGAGTAGAGTAGAATTAGGTCAAAAGGTGAGCTGGACTTTTTGGAAGCCATATGTTAAAGATAGTGGTGTTGGTTGTATTGTTTTTACACAACTTGTAGATAGTAATTATTTATCTAACAACTTAAGATTTATGTTTACAGTTTTGGATTTATATATATATATATATATATATAAGATTTATTGTAGTTCCACGGAAAGATCTTTATGTTTTCAATTGATTGATTACTTCCTTTACATATATAATGTTACATGTATATTCAAGAATTATTTGCATTGTAATTATATGTAATTAGGTTTATGTTTTTAGTTGTTTAAATGTTAAAATATAAAGTGTATTGATCTCTCATGTTATTACATTTCATGTCTAATATTTCAACTAAATATATAAATAATTTAACATTTTGTTAATATTTTTAAATTTGTAAAACATCAAATGTATAAGTTATGGATTTTAAAATTTAAATAATATGTCGCTTAAAAATAATAATGTAAGAATATAAATGATAAACATGAATAAGTAAAGGAAAAATCAGAAACTAAAACTTTAGTGTATGTGTGATTTATGAATTAAAAGTTTATTTCAGAAAATATGAACATGATAATATAATATTTCCATTTTTACACGTTTAAAAAAAATGTTCTTGAAATTTTTATTTATTTTACATAATGTTTTTAAAAGTTGTTAATTCCCGCAAAATTTATCCTATCAGATTTCCTATACTTTTATTTTTATGATAGGAGATGTGAACATGATATTTTTATAGGTAACAGGAATTATTTTTTAAAATCACTTGTAACTTTTTCTTAATTATTTTTATTTAAATTATTTCAAGTTTTACTTTACAGCAAAGTTATTCTTATAAATAGTATTAAAGTATAACTAAACACGTTTTTTTAAAATATATTTAATGAAAATATTTATGAAAGGATAATTAAAAATATGTAAGCTTTAAATGAATCTGGATTAGATGTTATGAGGGTGAATTCATAATATCCATTGTTATGTGAACGGAGCATTGATTGAGGCATATGCTCTTGAGAAAGAAGAACACATTCATTCATGGATCTCTTTCATGTGTAACCATTCATAGCTTTCACACCCTCATAAATCAAACAGGCTTGTTAGTGTTAAAGGGGGTCCTGGGTTTTGATTTCCATTCTTCTAATTCAAAAAATGAATTGTTAAATTTTACCAAATGTAAAATTGAATTTTTCTGTTAGTAAATTTGTCCATATTGGTCGTCTCTTATTTAAAAGATAAGTTGGCATTCGCATAAGTATAAAAAAGAACATTATTTTTCTATTTAATGAGATGAAGAAAAAAAATAAATTTTTTTCTAGCTTGATTTATAAGAGACTGGTTTTTAAAAATTAATTTATTTTTGTATTTTTATAATTTTAAATTTAAAATTACAAGTAATCTTTTTTAGACATTATGTTCTAAATATTTGAAATTTTATTCTCTCTCCTCCAAATTCTTATAATATTGAAGAGGGGTTAAAATTAGATTATGAAAGATTTTTTTTTTTAAATTAAACAATACAAATTTATAAAAAAATTATTCCCTCCGACCAAGCATTATATAAATAAACATCATATATTAAAGAGAAATGTTAATTCTTCCAAAAATGAATGGCCCACTACTCATCCGAACCATTAAAATTTTGACATTTGTCAATATATTTCATTGTTAAATATTCATTTATTTAATATTTTAGAATATAGTTTCTTTCCAAATTTAAGGATCCACAACCACACACTTTATTTGTTACACACGTTCACACACATACGAAGTTTATGACGACAATCACAAGGACATGACAACGCTTTTGGCAAAGGTAGATTGGCCCTTGATGTGGATGTCAACACTACAAGGATGTTTAGAAAGATTCAGATGATACAACATTTTTGTTAAAAGAGATAAGAACATGACAGGTGACCCTTGTTACATAACAGGTGACGACAAAGATTAAAACAAAAAAGTTAGTAAAATACTATAGCCAGTACTTGAATAATTTTCAAGTGAAGGGACTGAAAGTTAAATGTGTACATGTATTATTAGACCAAACTTTAAAAATAATAAACAACATTTAATTTTTTAATTAAACATTAAATGAATTGACAGAAGTCACTTTTTAATTGAGTCCGCTGATTTTTCGGCTAAATATTTCCGAGACAATAACATTTCTCTATCTAGAATTATTAGTCTTTAATTCATACAACGAGTGTTACCCAAACAAATGAAAGAGAGTTTGTCCTTTTTTTGTGGAAGGTTGAATTCCAACATGGCACCATGCAAGATTCCAACGCAATTGTGGAAAATAAGACACGAGGATGTTCTCTTCACTTCCTACCAATATATGCTTTGTCTTCATTCACGTGTTACTATTTTAAATATTTTATTTATCATTTTTAAATCATTTTAATCTTTTAATATAATTTAAGTACTTCATTTTTTGCCTGCTATTGACCAATACATCTTTTTTAATTAACATTTGCGACATCTTAGTTCTTAAAAATTGTCTATAATTTTTTTAAAAAATATTGTTATAATCATCAATATCATCACTAATAATGATCAATGCTAAATTGAGGGATTAAAATAATGTTTTTTTTTTTTATATTTTTTAAATTATATAAACTAAAAAAAAATTGAGAAAAAAATTATTAGAGAAACTAAAAAAATATTTAATCCGATCCTTGTTATAAAATTAACTGCAAAAACTGAAATATAAATGAACACGTTGATTCCGTCGTCTGAATGGCAAATATCTCTTTAAGCAGTACGAAGTTTAAAATGAATATGCTTGAAAGCGAGTGAATGATTCTTTACTTGAAACTAAGACACAGTAACTAGCCTTTTTAGTTGGTTATGTTCCAATGTTTCAGAACAGCTCTGTTCCAACCTTTTTTAATCCCTTCACAAGTCCGTTCTTGAGGTAATATCAGATATTCTCCTCTTCCTAACGTGTTATCAAGGTTTCTGTCACACACATACTATATTGATTTTTTAATATTATTATTAATTATTAATAAACTAGACATGTGGGTTTAACTTCTCCAGGACAGCTATCATTTTATATGGTTTCAGTGGCTTATCTTTTGGTGTTTCTGGGCACAATTGACTGTTGTGGTTCACACATATGTATATTTAGAATCACCAAAAGAATGGACATGAATTTTTCTGTTGGGTGCTGAATAGTGAATCTACTTTTCTGGGTTCCCCCCTCCCCCCAACATGGATGAGTCCCTACACCTTACTTTTTTAGAATCTTTGGGTTCATGGAGTCATGTGTTTTTCTTCTTTAACCAACTATGATGGTGCTTACTTTTGTTTATTTTTTGTGCTGTTCCTGAAATGGTTTTGGCACTTTGACTAGTGCTTATAGTTCTCTGTGCTGAATGGTGGTATAAGCTGAAGAACTGAAGCTGAAAGTTGCTTACTTTGAAGCAGGGTCCTATTGGAAGCATGGTTATGGGGAGAACATTGTTCCTCTTGGTTTTCTGCTTGTGGATTCCCTTGGAAGTGTTGGGGAGGAAAGAGCCTTCTTCACCTACCACTGTGAATTCCACTGTTTCTTCGAGACCCAAGGTTGTGAAATTTGGGGCCCTCTTTACTGTGAACTCTGTCATTGGGAGATCGGCCTTACCTGCAATTTTGGCTGCCGTTCGTGATGTTAATTCTATCAGGACCATTCTCCCTGGCATTGATCTGCAAGTTATTTTACATAATACAAATTGCAGTGAGTTTCTTGGAACAATGGAAGGTATTTGCCAAAACTTGGAAGTTTCAGCAGCTATTTCTTTCACCAATTGGTTTTACTTGACTTTATGCTTGACAACTTATGTATCTTTGTATGGTCAAGATTAATTCTTCTTACCTCTCATGTTCTCATTGTCCCTGTAATGTGAGACGAACTAATCTTACCATTCAACTCTATGTGAATGGTAAAGGTTAGTTTTACTTTAATTTTGACCACACATATGTAGTTAACTAGTTAAGATTAGCTCTTCTCATGTAGTATGGTCTCTCTTGATAAGATGATATTAAAGTCTATCTCAGTAATTATTGATTATTGTTGAATTTATTAGGTCATTTGCTATCAAGTTAATATTAAATCACTTATAGATATTCAATTCTCGACATTAAAGACTATGTTAAAGATTTTATATCAATTAGTGATATATATATATATATATATATATTTATTTATTTATTTAAGTGACAAACTAGTTTTATAATGTGAAATTAAACTCCAAACCACTCACTTAAGACCCTCCATATCCATTGTTTATTGCTGAAATACTTCTTTTTTAAGTTTGCCTACCAATCTTGTTAAGCCACATTTTGCTTGATTATCTACACCTTGAAATGAATCTTTATCGAACCAAAATCATTATGCTTGATTAATCTTGTTGATCATGTAGCTCTGCAGCTGATGGAGAATGATGTGGTTGCTATTGTTGGTCCACTATCATCTGGAATAGCTCATGTCATCTCTCATGTTGTAAATGAACTCCATGTGCCTCTTCTATCGTTTGGGGCAACTGATCCCACTCTATCTTCTCTACAATACCCATATTTTGTCCGCACTACCCAGAACGACCATTTTCAGATGTTTGCAGTTGCAGACTTTATTGATTATTACAGATGGAAGGAGGTAATAGCCATTTATGTAGACAATGATAATGGAAGGAATGGAATTTCTGTATTGGGTGATGCACTGTCAAAGAAACGCGCCAAGATCTCTTACAAGGCTGCTTTCACTCCTGGTGCCACAGAAAGTGATATCAGTGACTTGTTAAATGAAGTTAACTTAATGGAATCGCGAGTCTATGTTCTTCATGTGAATCCTGATTCAGGTTTAGCTGTTTTCTCTATTGCCAAGAGGCTAAGAATGATGACCAGTGGCTATGTTTGGATTGCAACACATTGGCTTCCTTCAGTGCTGGATTCCTTTGATACACCTGACTCTGACACAATGGATCTCTTACAAGGGGTTGTGGCCTTTCGCCATCACATTCCTGATACTGATCTCAAAAGGAGTTTGCTCTCCAGGTTGAAAAGCCAAAGAGACAGGGAGAGCGTTAGCTTCAATTCTTATGCATTTTATGCATATGATTCTGTTTGGTTAGCAGCTCGTGCCCTTGATGCTTATCTCAATGAAGGTGGAAATATATCTTTCTCAAGCGACCCTAAGTTGCATGACACAAATGGAAGCTTGTTGCAGCTATCGTCACTTCGTACCTTTGATGGTGGTCCAGAATTTCTCCGGACAATTTTGGGAATTAACTTCACTGGTGTGAGTGGTCAAATTGAGTTTGACATGGACAAGAATTTAGTTCATCCAGCTTATGATATTCTAAATATTGGTGGTACTGGATCCCGCAGAATTGGTTATTGGTCTAATCACACTGGTCTTTCAGTTATAGCTCCTGAAAGTTTATATGAGAAAAAATCATCCAACACGTCTTTGATGAGCAATCAACAAGTGTACAGTGTGATATGGCCTGGTGAGACAACAACTACGCCAAGGGGATGGGTGTTTCCAAACAATGGACGGCCACTAAGGATAGCAGTGCCTAACCGAGTGAGCTACAAGGACTTTGTTGCTAAAGACAAGGACCCCCCAGGGGTACATGGCTATTGTATAGATGTCTTCGAAGCAGCCATAAATTTGTTGTCTTATCCCGTCCCACGACAATATATGCTATATGGAAATGGTAAAAGGAATCCTGACTACAACGAGCTTGTGGAACAGGTTGCACAGAATGTGAGTTTCTATAAATCTTATGTTAGCATTGGTAATGTATGTATGGTCTAAAATGGACTTCATGCAGCAATAATATGGAAAGTTGGTCCTTTCCCTGATATGATTTTCAAAATTTGGTTAACTTGGCCCTTTCTTTGTTCAGAACTTCGATGCAGTTGTTGGAGATGTTGCAATTGTCACAAATAGGACAAGGATTGTGGATTTTACTCAACCTTTTATGCCATCAGGGCTTGTTGTTGTTGTTCCTGTTGTGGAGCAGAAGTCAAGCCCTTGGTCTTTCCTTGAGCCATTCACTACTCAAATGTGGTGTGTCACTGGTGCTTTCTTTCTTTTCGTTGGAACTGTTGTGTGGATTCTTGAGCACCGGCTCAATCCTGAGTTCCGTGGTTCACCGAGGAAACAACTTATAACAGTGTTTTGGTAAGTATGTTTTGACCATTTGAAAGCCTTTTTATCTGAATCTTTTCGTAGATCATAAAAGCCTCTTTGTGATGGACCTGTTTATTGCAAGGTTGTGCCATTGCTATCCTTTTTTATTATATCATATCACATCATATACAATAGAGGATTGTAGTTTGTTAGTCAAAGAGGTAATTTTATTTCTTCGACTGTGCTAATATATTATTTCAAATCTCCCAATCCTTAACAAATAAGCCTTTATCCGAGTCTCGTGCCTTGACTCCAAATACGAGGTGTGTAGGCTTACTTTTTTTTTTTTAAGGCATTATCATGATTCATATAATATCTTATAATTGAAAATTAAAGATTAATTTAGATTTATAAAATATAACTTTTATTAATTAAATATTATTTTAATATTGAAAACATAATCTTAAGAGTATTAAGTCGACCTCCCTCCCGTATAGGAAGACTTTAACATCAACTCAAATATTTTTTCATAAACGAATTCTTTTTTTGCAGGTTTAGCTTCTCAACAATGTTTTTCTCACACAGTATGTACCCTATATATTCTCATTCACACCCTCTTGAATTTTTACCTGTAACAATCCTTATTTTGTATTGTGCATGATGAAATTCTTTAATTTAGGGGAGAACACTGTGAGTGGACTTGGGCGATTGGTGCTAATCATATGGCTCTTTGTGGTGTTGATCATAAATTCAAGCTACACAGCTAGCTTGACATCTATCCTCACTGTGCAGCAACTGTCATCTCAAATTGATGGAATTGACAGCTTGATCTCTAGTACTCAACCTATTGGAATTCAAGATGGGTCATTTGCACGGAAGTATCTGATAGATGAGCTCAACATAGCTGAATCTAGGATAGTTACGTTGAAAACCATGGAGGAATATGTTGATGCCCTTCAGCGTGGCCCTAAAGGTGGAGGGGTTATGGCAATTGTTGATGAGCTTCCTTATATTGAGGTCTTGATGTCCAGCACTAACTGTAAGTTCAGAAATGTTGGGCAGGAGTTCACTAAAAGTGGCTGGGGATTTGTAAGTATCTCTGTTTGCATGTTTATGGTTCAGGATTCTATATGTTCATCCATTCAATAAATAGGATACCTTTTTTTTTTTTCTTTGTTAGAGAATATTATATCGAGAAAACTTAAGTCTCGTTTTGACTAAATAAGGTCAACAAAAAGTTTATAAATGAGAAACAATTCTTATTTTATAAACTATTTTTTAGGGTTAAGTTAAGAATAGCAGATTTTATCTTAGCAATTATTTTTGTTTGGATTGATGAATATTCAGAATATCCTTAAGAATACAAAGTTGCTAGGGGTGATTGCAATTAAGGTAACTTTCCAAAAAAAAAAAAAAATGGTTTCTTCTTGTATGAATGGATATAAAACTAGAGTACAGAATATATCATCTCATTTTTAAATCTTCTTCCAGACAAACATCAATTGAGTTAGGGTTTGTTTAGGAAACTTCTTGTTTAGGAGAGGAAAATAGAAGGAAAAATAAAATAAGATTTTCTATAAGTTGAAATTAACTTGTTCATAAGTTATTAATTTGCAAAAACTCTTTCCTATTATTAGTTTCTCTAAAATTTTATTTTTAACTTATGAAGAATTTTATTTCAATTTTTCTTTTCTATAAGTATTTTTGGAGAAATTTATTCAAATATATCTTTACTTTTTTTATTTTATTTTTTATTAATAAATGTTAATTGTTAATTGTTATGATAGTAAGGAGATTGAAACCCACACCCTCCATATCACTCTAACCCAATGTCCCTCCCCCAAACCACCATCCAACCTTATAACTCCTAACATACCTGTACTTTGCTACATAATGTTTTTATGATGACACCTTCTGTTCATATGCAGAAATAAACATAAACAAATAAACAAAGTATATCCAAGTCCACACATGAATGTTCTTTTACCATGAGTGTGCTTGTTGTGTCTATACCTTTAATTATAATATCTTTTGAGGATTTTCCAAACATGGTTGGATATTGTTCTCATCTTCTCATGTTTGTTTCCCTGACAACAGGCATTCCAGAGGGACTCTCCTCTTGCTATTGACTTGTCAACTGCCATTCTTCAACTCTCCGAGAATGGAGACCTGCAAAAGATTCATGACAAATGGCTTAGTAAAGAGGAGTGTACAACCGTTGCTAATTCAAACAAACTAGCTCTGACAAGCTTCTGGGGCCTCTTTCTTATATGTGGCATTGCATGTGCCATTGCTCTCATTGTTTTCTTTATTAGAGTGTATTGTCAATACAACAAATTCAGCGCTGAGCCTGGGAAGATTGATGAGGAAATTCAACCAGTCAAGTCTAGACGTCCTAGCAGAACATCTAGCCTCAAGAACTTGATAGAATTTGTAGATAAAAGGGAGTCAGAAATCAAAGGGAAAAACAAAAAAAGGAGACACAGCCAGAACTTTGATGAACATTCGGTTACATCACCTAGTTAACCAATTGGTGCATCTTTTTGTTTTTCTCCTTTTGACTACCTTAGATATAGTGATGGTACAAATTAATCTACACTAGTGAAGGTAAATTCATTCCTTCTTAACAAGGAAATTGTGACAGCAATAATGTCACTACAATAGTATTTTGAAAATAAAATATCATGCTTTAGCTTGTACCCTTGTTTAGAAAAAGCTTGAGAAGAAAAAAGCACCCTAACCGCAATTCCCATCACTGCATGCTTCATTTTCCAATCTTTTGGTGGTCCTCTTATAAGTTGAGTTTCATCATTATAAGCATAAATATCTGCATGGGTTTCAAGATCAACATCAACTATGCTCAATGCAGCATACGGTGTTAATGCGCGCAATTTATTAAGTGACATTTAGTAGTGTTAACGTGAGCTCATTGGTTTATACAGATCCTTTATTTAGTAATGAAAGTTTCTCTTAAAAAGTGAAAAAAAAGAGTAGCAAATTCAAGCTTGATATGATCCTATGTGATCATTCCAAGTATTCTTAAAGGCCTTCATCTACCAAGTATGAAATCTGCAAAACCGAATTGAATAATTCCGAGATATCGCTATACATGGGTTTGTCGCTCCCAAGTTACAAGATTGATGAAAATGATTCATGAAATGGGACCATCGTACTCATGTTTTCCATGGCAACACGTGGTGTTTGATAATGTTGTCTTGTTTCTCAAAAGCTTCTTTACTACTCACCAAACTTGAAACATAGAAAAAGGAAAAGATTTTTATAGTACCCTCAATTAATTACTTGAATAATAATGTCACTATTTCTCGTCGAAGTTAATAATTAGATTTAGTCAACTTACAAGAAACACAATCAGTTAGGCAGAATTCTCCAGGAAACGAGAACCATTATCTAATGGACACATGTTAAAGAGTTAAGACAAAGGTTACTTGGGTGGCACGAGACTATGGGTAAGTGCCACCTGTTATGGTAATTGAGCAGTCACTGTCTGTCGCTAACAACAAATTAAAACTAGGCTAGTGCAAAAAGATTCTTCCATTTAATAACATCTTTTGGAAAAGAAAATTACCCAAGTACTCATTTATCTTACCAGTTCACAACTTATTCTGGAGAATAAAGTGAGCAGAATGCATCTTTCTCTTGCCTCTCCATCACTCTAGCCAAAATTAGAATTGCTTATTAAATTCTCTCTTCGTAATTCTTTTATGAATAAATAGTATATACACTGAACCTATCAAGGTTTTCTCTATGGTTAAAATCTGAATTTCTTCGGTTCTAAAATGACTTTTTACACACTATTAAGAATAACAATAGATATATAATTTTATTAAAATAAGTTCACTTTTTTTTAATAAATACATTACTTTGAAAGTTAAGAAGATTTGTTATTTTGAAATTCTTTTACATGCTAAAATTGCCATTATTTTGGACGGAAATAATATATCTTTTCTTTTTTGATTATTGTATAAATTAATAGTATATGCTGTTTATATAAATAACTTTTACATTTCCATTAAATCATAAACTTACATTAAATTTGTTAACTTTTGTAATAATCATGTTGACAATCGAACTAATTTGAATTTCAAATTGTTTAACATTATAAAATTTAAAAAAGAAATGCATACAAATTAAACTTATTATATAATGACTAATGAAATTTCAAATTGTTTACATTATAAAATTTAATAAAATTTGAATATAAAATTCCGACATGTTTATACATAATATTTGAACTTCCACTGCTAAATTATATATATATGATATATCTGAGAGAAAGAGAAACTGCAGCCACTAATAAAAAGAAAAGAAGGTGTGGAGTGTGGAGTGTGGATATTTTAACGGTCAACCGTGGCGTTAAAGTAGTGTTGCTGAGAGCACAAAAGTCGTTGGAAGATGTAACTGAAAAGTGAAAGGCATTCCCAAAACACCCTCTCACATTCAAAAATATGAGACAACACACAACCTCGCTTTTCATTTTCATGGCTGAGAGCCTCACTCGTTGCACTTGAGGCCATCCCACCATCCCAAACACAACATCACTTCCACTTTTTTTTCTTTCTTCTTCTTATTTCCTCTCAAAAATTAACAAAAAAACTAAAACATGTCCCAGTTCGCCCGCATGCACACCCACTCCCCCGCCATCCGCCGCCGCTTTCACCACCGCGTTTCCCTCCTCCGCCGCTGCATCCTCCGCGTCCTCCACCGCATCCTCCTCTGCTCCGGGAGAAAGGCCGCCAACACCACCTACAGCATGCTCCCACCGGCATTGCCCTCTCCCTCGCCGCCGCCGCCGCCGCCGGACTTCGACGGCGAGCCTCGCCGTGAAGAGGTGGAGCCCGCCTCTCCGACGGTGTTCCACACCCATGACTTGGAATCTGATTTGGTTTCCTTGAAGATCAGCTTGTTGGGTGACTGCCAAATTGGAAAAACCAGTTTTTTGGTTCGTTCATCACCTTTTTTAAAATAAAATATAAAAAATTATAATTCAACCAACATGGATCTTTCTTCATATTTAGCTTCTGTTGGGTGTAATCTGAAATGGGTTGAGTCAAAAATTTGATTTTTTTTGGATTTGTTTTTCAGGTGAAATATGTTGGGGATGAGAAAGAGCAGAACCAGAGCGAGGGGCTAAATCAGATGGACAAAACATTGGTTGTTAGAGGGGCACGTATATCGTATCGTATCTGGGAAGTACAAGGTAGAGGGAGAGAAGATCCCAGATTGTGTTTTGATGGATATGGTCCAAAAATAATGATAATTGATGGTTAATGATTTTATATTTGATTGTTACATATCCATGCAGGCGATGAAAAATCAGAAGACCAAATTCCAACGGCTTGTAAGGACTCCGTGGCAATTTTGATTATGTTTGATCTAACAAGTCGATGCACATTAAACAGGTAAAAATCTTTGTTTTGCTGTGGTGTTTGAATTAATTTTGCATTTTCAAGAGCCAATTGGTAATGGCTGATGAATTGTCCACCAATTCTTTTGGTTTGGTTTGATTTCAGTGTCCTAGGATGGTACAAAGAAGCAAGAAAATGGAACCAGGTACATATATCTTTTTTGGCACCAATGGTTTAAATTGTATGCATGTGGATGCAGAGGAGTGAGAATTTTATGGTGCTGTGTGGATAATTTTTGTAGACGGCGATTCCAGTGTTGATAGGAACCAAATTTGATGATTTCATTCAGCTCCCTATTGATTTGCAATGGACCATCGCCAGTCAGGTTAGGATTCCACTGTTTAACATTAAAAAAAAAAAAAAAAAAAAAAAAGTTTAAGTATGATCTCCCTCCCAACAACAAAAATGTATGTTCTTAGATCTAGTAAAACAGAACCTCCGGATCTGATGAAGTATTTCATTTATGAGTAAGTTCGATTTTGGTTTCAAAATCATCCTCAATCACGGTGAAATACAATATAAAGGTGAATTTAGATAAATGTATATGTTAGATCTCATATATTTAAGAATTGATTTTGAATTAAAGTTACTTTAGAAGGCTTCCTTTTGCATTGAATTAGAAATCTTATACTAAATTTTATTACCATTTTTTTTTAGAATAGAAACACCCAATTACAAATCATTTCACTTCAAAATTAATTCTAAACAAAATCAATTTTATAAAATTAATTTCATTCAAAGTAGTTTCTGAAAAATAAGTTGGTTTATATTAATCTTAAAAATTATGACTTTTACGATGATTGTTATAAAAAATAACAAACTTATCAACATGGATATTTATAATTAGATGATCGTTTAAAAAACTTTTAGCGTATATAAATTAAGAGCTTAATACATTAATAGTTCCATTAACATTTTTGATCATTTTTAATTATGTATTTAAACTAAAAAAATAAATTGCATTTGAGTTATTGATTATATATATATATAATATATATATATATATATATATATATATATATAATTTAGCCTTTGTTGATAGTTTGTAGTTCTTTGAAACTGCTAGAAAAATATCCATTTATGACGGTTACAAAAATTTTAAGACTCAATTACAGTTTTTTTGTTTAATTTAAAGACTTAAATTAAAATTTTCAAAGCTCATGAAACTCAACGTATTAAACCTAAATTAAATTCATTTCTTGAAGTAACTGAAAACTGAAATTTAGCTCTTTTTTGGCTGTCGTTTTCCAAATAGTTTTATTCCTAATCATGTTTTAGATAACATATGGAGAAAAAAATAAATTTGATTACGACTTAGCAACGACCACGTTTTATTTCAACATAACCACCTCAAGCACCTAACAGTAAGGTGCTACTATTCAGAGGCATGAATGCCTGCAGAATGATATTTGCAAGACTAATCAATTTCGTACATTCTTTACTGAGAAAAACGAACAACGATTAAGAAACTTTCTAGTTAATACTATAAACGAAGCCTCTACTTTTTTTTTTTTTTTTTTTCTTTTCATTCTTATGACTAAGCCACCATTTATTTTCGGTTGCAACGTCGATTCAAGTGAAAGGGATTGATGGGATCACAGCAGATAGCATATAAAGAAAACCCATATTTTCTAACACTACTTTGCAGACACTATTAATTCTGTGTAGGGTAGGCTTGTTAAAGATAATGTTAATTACGACAAAACCAAGTTGAATAATCACCTATATAAAGCATAATCAAACTATTATATGGACCCCATATAAGCATTCATATCTTTTTCTTTTGTATTTTTTTTGGTAAATATGGACCCCATCTTGTTACATTATAAAACAATGCATGTTTGATAATCATTGAGTACCATACTCCCATGCCCATTTATTTACAAGCAAGTTAAGCAAGGCATGTTGGAATCTATGCAAAATAAATAAATAAAAATTATCATGTTTTGAAGATGAGATTTGATGCGTCTGATGTGTGTGACATTGAACAGGCAAGAACATATGCAAAGGCCATCAATGCCACGTTGTTCTTTTCCAGTGCAACATACAACATCAACGTGAATAAGATCTTCAAGTTCATTACTGCCAAACTATTCGACCTACCATGGACAGTAGAAAGGAATCTAAATGTTGGGGAACCCATCATTGACTTCTGAAAATTGTACATTACATAGAGTTTTGAAGTTGTATGATCAAACGTCAACCGGTGCCATCTGGTGGTGTCATGAGTTAATATCTCTCACTCTAGGGGCAATCGAGTTGTTAGGTTTAGACATGTCAAATTGTCAATTCCTGTGGAAATTACAAGACTCTTCAATCAATATCATCACCAAACAATAAGGTTTTTCAAGGAGAGGAATAAAGGGCAAGTGAGAAATAAGAGAAATGAAAACAAAGGAGAGGACTAAGGTTTGTTTAAGCATAACAAGAGAAGGGGGCAAATGCATTATTGTTTATTGAGTTTAAATTAGTCAATGGTTGGTGCTCTTATCTTGCTCTTAAGGAATTGTCCTGTGAGTTACTGTCAAAAGAACATAGACAATGAGATAAGGAAGCTATAGAATCTCCTTTTGTTTCCTTTTTATTTCTCACCCAGTTTTGAAGTTCTGGTAATGCAAAGCTTCTTCTGAATAAATCTATCATTTCGTATGGTTCTCGCTTGTCTCTGTCACTCAAGTCTTGGGGATCTTTCAATTTGATAGAATTTCACATAATGTAATCCAGAAACCAATCCTAAGTCCTAACAAAAATGATGGGATTTTTTTCATGGACATCCATTAGTATTCAAAAACCGACAATTAAAAATTAACATTAATGATGAGATTTTGAATATCAAACAATAATGAACAAATTTTAGTGAAAATTATTCGAGAATTGAGCAAGCAACTTCAAATTACAAAACATGGTACTCTGAAAGCATTTATAAAAAGTGTGGCATAACTTTGACAATTTCAACTCTCTTTTGATCACACTGTATATAGGTACTATATGGATGTGTTGGAACATTGTTTCTACCTAAAATGGTCACAACCATGGTAGTATGAATTGGATGTATCGCAATTTGTATCGTATGATAAGATACAATTCTAAGGTTCCACGATTTGTATCGTGTTGCGAATCGAAAAATCGTGATTCAAGAAGAAATCACATGATTCTGGAAGTAGTGGGTCACATTTGAAATTAGGCCAGGTCATGAATGACCCGGTTCTAAAATCCTAAAAATTGATTTAAAAAAAAAAACAAAAGTAAGATAGAAAGTGTCAATAATACTCCCTCTAAATGACCCACTTAGTGGGTTTCACTTTTTGTAGTCCATTTGCTTAGTTCGAGTTCTCTGCTTCGTTCAGGTTCTTGTTCAACGTGGTCCCAAGGGTAAGGGCTTCCCTTCCTGTTGTGTGGTTCATTCCTTCACTTGTTCTCTCTTTGTTTTCTTTGTTATTCCCTCTACAACTTGCTGGTCCCATCTCTTTACTTGTTCTATATTTTTTTCTTTTGTTGTTCCCTCAACAACCAGCACATGCTGTTGTCTAAGTTTCTATTTGTTGGTACTTGGTAGGCCATTAAAAAATGGGTCATTCAAAAAGAGAGCCCGATATCACTTGGAACTATTGTGATAGTATCCCTCCAAACAGACTTAAAGTAAAATGTAAGTTATATTTTCATGTTTGTTAGGGTGGTATTTCAAAGATGAAACATCATCTTGTTGGAACAAAGGAAAATGTGATTGCTTGCACAAGTGTTCCTAATGATGTGAAGGAAATATTTGTCAAGTTCTTGAAAACTAAAGATAAAAAGAAAGAGGATTGCTTGGAAGTAGAGAATGGGATAGTAAAGGAAAAGAGGGAACATCTAAGGTTTTCAAACAAAAGACAATGAATGAAGTTTGTAAAGATAGGAAATTTGTGATTCAAGAAATTTGTAAATGCATTTATGGTAATGTATTACCATTTAATTTGGTAAGGAGTCCTCTTTTTATTCAAATGTTAAAGGTTGTTGGAGAATATGGAAGAGGTTTGAAGCCACCAAATTATCATGAGGTGAGGGTTTCTTTTTTGAAGAAAGTTGTTGACAACATCCAAAAAAGCTTAGAGAAATATAGAAGTGATTGGGAGAAATGGGGATGCACCTTGATGTGTGATGGTTGGACAAATGGAAAAGGAAGATCACTAACTAATTTTCTTGTTAATAGTTTAGGGTTTAGGGACTATTTTTTGAAATCTATTGATACTAGTGATGTGATAAAGGATGGAAAAAATGTTTGAATTGTTATACAACATTGTTGAAGAAATTGGGGGAACATGTAGTCCAAGTTGTGACAGATGGGGCTTCTAATCTTGTGGCATACATTGAGGAGATTGGAGAGCTTCCAGTATTCTATAATACCATTGCTAATGCAAAGAAGATTACTACCTACATATATAGGCATACATGGGTCCTTAATTTGTATAAACAATATTCCAATGGAAGGGAATTAGCAAGACCAGTTGTGACAAGATTTGCAACTTCGTATCTTGCACTAAATTGCATTAAACAACAAAATAATGCTCTTAGATCAATGTTTGTATCGGAGAAATGGGCTACTAGTCCACATGCTAGTAAAAGTGAGGCTAAGCAAGTCATGAACCTAGTGTTGAGTGATGATAGATTTTGGAGATCAATTATATATTGCCTAAAGTGCGTGATTCCACTTGTGAAAGTGTTAAAGCTTGTAGATGGTGATTCAAAGCCAACCTCACCATACATTTATGAAGCAGTGGATAGGGCTAAAGAGAAAATTGCTCAAAACTTTCAAATGCAAGAGTCAAGGTATAAAAAAGTGTGGAAAATTATTGACACTGGGTGGAATCTACAACTTCATAGGCCTCTTCATGTAGTTTCCTATTATCTCAATCCTAGATAAATTATTTAAAAATAATTGTCATTTTAAGAGCTACTATTTTCTTTGTGCCTAGTAGCTTATTTATTTCTTATTTGGTTAGGTATCATTATGGCAAGAACTTCAATTCGGATAGTGAAGTGTTAATTGGTTTATATGAAACCTTTCAAAGAATGGTTCCAGCAAGGACAAGAGATAAGAAACAACTGGGTATCCCTTTAATTTTTACTCTTTATAAATATCATAAAGATAATACATAATAATTAATAATAACTAGATTTATAAACTAAATACACTTTTTTTGTAGCTCTTTGGTAGGAGAGTTATGGTGGAAAAGGTAAAGAGTTACAAAAGGTGGCCATGAGAATTTTGAGTCTTACATGTAGTGCCACGGGATGCAAGAAGAATTGGAGTACATTTGACTAAGTGCATACTAAGAGAAGAAATCAATTGGAGCAACAAAGATTAAATGCACTTGTATATGTCAAATATAATCTTCAACTTGAGATGAGGCAAAATAATAGATAAGAGAATGGAGATACCTATGATCCCATATGCTTGTCAGATATTGAATTTGATGATGAGTGGATCACCGAAAAGGAGAATCGTTGCTTGTCTATTGGTGCCTCATGAATGAATGTACATGAGTGTTTTGGTGTTGATGAGAGAGTTCCAAAGAAGAAAAGAAAGAGAGGTAATTATTTATATTTAAAAGTTAGTTTAGAACTTGAAAGTTGGAATTATAACTAGACCTTATTATTTTCTTTTGATTAAGTAGGTAAAAGAAAATTGAATGCAAAGATTGGTAAGGGAAAATCAATAATAGAAGATAAGGATGAAATTGAAGATAATGAAGAAGAAGAACTTTTGATATTAGAAGATAAGGATGACTTGAGTGATGTAGATCTTGGGATTGGAAATGATGAATGATCTTAGATAGTGGCATTTTGTATTTATTTTTTGAGGTTGTATGACTGAATTTGTGTGGCAGCAACACCACTTGTACATAATTTCGTACCAATTAGTATCTATAATTAAAAAAATTCAAGTTTCAATATTGTCAATACTATATTAAAATATGAAGATTTGTTTTTTCAGTAGCCATTTAATAAGAAATACTTCAATGTAATAAATGTAATAAATTTTGAAATTTGAAATAATTTTTTTAAAAAAAATTTAACCCGGTTAAATGTAATAAAGTGTGATGTCTTTTTTATCCCTATTTTATCTGGACATAAATTTACTAAATTAACCCTAATTTGAATAGACTTTTTTTGGGGGAGAAATTATGTTAACAACCTTATATAATAAGATTAAATATAATAAAGTGTAATGTAATTTTTATCTCTATTTTGAGTGGACTTAAATTTACTAAATTAATCTTGATTTGAGCAGATATTTTTTTTATAAAAAAAACTACTTTAAATTAATAAATTTATATAATAAGATAATAAAATAAGATTAAAATACAATGTAGGGGTAGATGAATGCCAACAACGTCATTGAGAGATCGGGATAGTGGTAGATGGCTCCTAGGTAGGGGTGGGTAGATGGACCTGGGTCCGCGGACCGGTCCGTAAGTCCGCGAATTTCGCGAATAACGGACCTGATTTTTTCAAATCTGTATGACTATGTTTAATTTTTGAGCCCGGCCCGTGAAGTTCGCCGACTTGGCGGATTTAATCTGTGAGCTTGCGGGCTAGTCCGCGAACTTCACTAATTAATATTTTTAAATATTACAATTTTAATATTAAGTTGTGTATTTAATTTTTTAAATTATTATGACATTAAAATTATGTTTAGTTAATATGTATTTGTCATTTGAATTATTTTTATGACATTTTGATGCTTTTATTATTGAAAGTTTGGTACTATTATTTAAGTATTTGTAATTATTTTTATTTAAATATTTTAATATTTAGTATTTTAAACCATTGATAAGTTTTAGTATGATAAAATTTAGCTTATAAATAAAAAAAATATTTTTTCTTCTAATTTTATGTATTTTTACTTTTTTAAAATTTATTTTTTTGAACCATTATTTAGGTCCGCTGACTGGTCCGTTATCCGCGGATTTTGGCAAGTCGAATACGAACTTAAAAAATAAGTCCATTTATTTTACGGACCGGACTTATCCAGCCCGTATAAAACGCGGATTTTATGGACCGAGCCTTAAACGGGTCAGACCGGTCCGTATACCCACCCCTACTCCTAGGCTTCTATGGGGATGCGGAAGTCATTCACGGTCTAAAACCTCATCCGTCCAAGTCAGGAAGAACTCAGACAACTAATATAAAATTATATTTATGTTTTTTTTTAAAAGTTATATTATGAAGAAGGATATGATTATTTCAAAAGTAAATTTACTTATATTTACTTTACACAATAAATTTATGTTTAATATTAAATTTTAATAATTTAATTGTTAAATTAAATTTCTTTAGTACATAGATTAAGTCTATAAATTAAAATTTTAAAAATTATTTAATATTTCATTTCATTAATTCAAATTGACATATAATTATGAAAATTTTGCTGACTTATAATTATAACTATATCATAAAACATACACATAATTGTGCACCTAATTTTTAAAAAAATGACTAAACATAATAGTATGAATTATCTTTAGAAATCACTAAATATTAAAAAATAGATTAATAACAATAATATATCATAAAGAAGTTCGTGATGAAATAATGTAAATTCACAATTTAATTTCGAGATTTCAGTAGAATAAAATGAGTCATGATTTAAAAAATAAAAAAATTAAAGAAAAACTTAAATATGTTTTTAATGCATACAAAATGAACAAGTTTTAATTTTGGTAATTGTAAATTTTTTTTCATCCCTATAAAATTTATAACCATTATTTTTAGTCTATATTATTATACGCATTTTTGTTAGTCAAGTAGCCTCGTATAATTTAAGAGGGCGGGGTGAATTAAGTTATCTTATTTTTCTTCCTTTATGAGTTTTTAGAGATGCCTTCTAAAAAATTTAATTACTTAAACAAAATGTATGTAATGATACAAAAATTACTCAACCACAATTAAATATCAAGTAAATAAAAGGGTAGGGAAGAAGAATTGTAAACTTGATTTTATACTGGTTCGGTCAATCTTGCCTACATCCACTCATCCAGTACTCAAGTCTCCAACTTGAGATTTTCACTATTCTTGTAGTACTTACAAGACTTGAATCCTCCAACATCTTGGAATACCCTTTCCTTGTGTTGATATTCAAAAACAACAAGGAGAACAACCATTTCTCCTTCACAAATCAAATGATCAAGTGCGAATTACATAATAACTCTCTTTTAAGAGTAGATATTGCACCTGTAAGATCTTAATGAACTCTTTAGAATAATGCAAATGAATTTGGCCAAGAAATTTTTGTATATGACTTTTTCACAATAAAGTTCGTAACCCTCTTCTGAAAAATTATATGCATTCATAGACAATTATTTCTTAGGTTGTGTCTTTTCATGAAGAGTTGTAACTCTCTATAATTTTTCAGAAAAGATACTCTAGTAATCGATTACAAAGCTTGGTAATCGATTACAATGATTTTTAAGTTCAAAAATTGAAACGTTGTATCTTTTTAAATTCAAATTTTTTAAGTTCCCTCTTCTAGTAATCGATTACAAGGTCTGGTAATCGATTACAAGAACACAATTTTGTATTTTAAATTTAAACTTTGAAGTTTCCTTGTTCTGGTAATCGATTACTTAAGCTGGTAATCGATTACGAGACAAATATAACTTTATTTGTTACACAAACTTTTGATTATAGGAAACTTCTAATTTTCAGTCAAAAATATTTTTGTAAAATCTTTTTGAACACGTTTTTTACTTTCCTTTAAAAAATATAAAAAAAACTTACTCTTATATTCAAAAAGATTATTTGAGGTTTTCTTGAAATTATAGTTTTAGTGGCCAAGTAATAATTTGCAATTTCTAAAAGTTCATTTTACATATTAAGCTAAGTAGTCAAGAATTGCCTAGTTATTACTTGAGATTTTACTTCTTGGTCAACTTGTTCTAACTTGACCTTTTATTTTTTACAATGCTTTGACATCATCAAAATTTTGTGCATATGTTCTTTCATAATTTTTAATTATTTATTTATTAAAAAATCAATTGATCATCTTAAGTGTTAGGCTTAATTGTGTTTTTGATCTCTCAAGTATTATAATTGTGTGTTTCAAAAAAAAAATTATAATTGTGCAATTTTGATACCCAAGATTTAAATTAAGTAATTTTAGTTCTTAAAAGACTGTAATTGTATAATTTTAATCCTTTTATTTTTAATTGAACAATTTTAGTTTCTCAAATATCATAATTATACAATTTTAATCTTTCTCATTAAAAATTTAATAATTTTAAAATTTTAACCACTTTCTTATTTTT